AAGTCCGATATCTAATGATATCTTCAGTTCTTCAATTGAAATGTGCCTTGCTAACAGCGGAGCTATCTCAGCCGAGAGGCTGCTTGTTTCAGTGAGTAGCAAGCTACCCTAAGTATTGTTAGGTTATGGTCTGTCAGGTTCTAATGTCAATTGTTTTATTTTCAGAGAATAACCATTGAGAAGAGATTGAATGAAATGATAGTTAGTGAATCGGGTGATGACTTGTGTCTTATTTGTTTCAACGCTGTACCCAAAGGAAATGTAGGTATAATTGTAGAGTCGATAAAAATCATGGAATGAATAGACCTTGCCATTCATGTTGTTCATCGTGATTCACCCATGCTCTATAGATTGGCTGTCCTTCGGTTTTGTCTTCGTTGACAATAAATATTTTGTTTTCCGATCATGTGTTATGAAGTTATGAAGTACTGTAGCATAATAAAACAGAGGAATTATTGACTTTGGCGCTATTTCCTCTTTGGGTCATTAAAATTGAGTATTGATCTCCACTTTGGTGTCTCGATGGACAGGATGGATGTTTGAATGTAAACCTGATTTATCTTTATAGAGTGAACAACACAAGGGTTCAGCGCAGCATGCTCACTCACTCGGCCATTATCAAACAATTCTGGAGATGATGAACGTGGTCAAGAAACTATACAATCCTGACACCCAAGAGGAGGCATTCAAACTTGCTGTAAGTATATCATTGTGCTTCATGTGGTAAAAGACAATGTATTCTTATTAGGGAATGGCATTCTTGACCTTGATCAGGTCACCACGGTAGAACCACAAGTGCTCTAAAATGTTCGTTCACAATAAAACAGACTTAAAGTTTACATATATTTTATAGCAATCCTTAAAGATATTTTATTTTGTATCAAACTATGGCTGAATAATAAGCAAAGCTGTTAGAACCTCAAGTAATTTTTGTGTGCATACCAGTATATTCCATGGTAGTAGATGATCGTTTGCGTGATGTTTTGATTTTTTCAGTATTCCCACCTCGCATACCATCAGTTCAACAGTTTTTGTTTTCATTACTTAAAACCTGAACAGCACAATTTTGTGAGTTGTCGAAATTTTAGAAGGCAATCAATAACAAAAATCTTTACAATAATTAGGCGGTTGAATTTTTTAAGTGTAGGAAAAATTGTATAGTAGTCAATAAACCCCTTGGAAGCGACAATGTAACCAGCAAAATTGACTTTCTATTCAAAGCCGAAAGTGGCTACTTCGTTTGCTGTCTTATTTACCGGTATCTAAATCAACACATGCTGATTAAGTAATTTAAACATGGACGTCAAGTTAATAAACCAAATTTCATAATTTGCAAAATTCACAAAAATTGATTTGAAATAGTTGTTTACAGCTACTCAAGTACATTATGATGTTCTCTGGCCAGATATTGACTAGTTATATTTATCTGCGCTTGCTCTATTTTTTTTACAGGAAGCTTATGAAGACAAGTTAAAAGTAGACTGTACTACTCAGCATTGTAGTTTATGTAAGGAATATTACGCTGACATGGTAAGAACACATTCATGCTTGCGCTTTCTTTAAGATAGCCACAGGGAAAAAATGAGTTAAAAATTGATCTGTGATTGAGCCATGAACTATTATATAACTGTTATAACAGTCTTAGTTTGAATACATCATTTGAAAGTTTAGATATTGGCGATTATATCTATTTCAGATGATGTATAGGCTTGGTGTATATTTTACATGTAACAATTTAATAGCATGGAAATATGATTGTCCTAACAATAATTACTCCCCAACCGTCTATCCCTGTGTGCATATGTTCGTCCGTCTTTCTGTATCTAGTAGTGTATCACACATCCTAGGACTTCACACATGCATCAGTCATTATATTGGACATATGCATATGCATTTGTTTCATGATTTGATTCAAGGTGGCATCAAAATTGCACATTTCACCATTTCAGAACCTGATCTCAGTCATGCATGGACAGATTCTGTTCAAACTTTTTACATACTTATATAAAGGGATCTTGATGCGTTCCATTTTATTTCTCAGATTAGGTTCAAAATGGTTGGCTGGTAATGATTGTTTCAAAGATTGTTCCATTGAGCCATATTTCACATATTTTGAGTCAATCAAGTTTAAGGTAGAGATGCAGGTTCGTGGGCACTTGGGAGTGATTTTTTTAGTCCCCGTTCGGACGCAGTCCGAAAACGGGGACTTGTGTTTTGCCCTGTGTGCGTCTGTCCGTCCGTGCGTCCGTGATCACCTGTATCTCGAACATGCATGGACCGATTAAGTTCAAACTTCACTCATACATCACACATTATATGGGACATATGCACATGCATTTTTTTCATGATTCGATTAACGATAGCCGAATAGCGGCCATTTTAAGGCCGAAAATGCATCAAAATCGCACATTTTCACCATTCCGGACCCGGATCTCAGTTATGCATGGACGGATTTTGTTCAAATTTGGTACATACATTAAACATAATAGGACCTTGATGCACGTCATTTTTTTTTTGGATCGGGTTCGAAATGGCCGACTGGCGGCCATTTTGTTTTAAAGAATTCAGTTCTGGATCCGTATCTGAGACATGCTTGGATTGATCGAGTTCAAACTTCACACACACAAGGTACATCATGTCACAAATATGTATGTGCATTTGTTTCATGATCTCATTAACGATAGCCAAATGGCGGCCGCTTTAAGGCCGAAAATGCATTGAAATCGCACATTTTCACCATTCCGGACCCGGATCTCAGTTATGCATGGACGGATTTCATTCAAATTTGGTACATAC